TGTGTGTGTGTGTGTGTGTGTGTGTGTGTGTGTGTGTGTGTGTGTGTGTGTGTGTGTGTGTGTGTACCTGAGAAACCAGGCTGGCTCTATAGGCAGCCAGTTGTTTCAGATACTCCTTCTTAGCTGTTTCAGTCTTCTTCTTGTAAACCTGAAACACAAACATTTACTGAAGACGTGAACAAGTTCTCAACATTTAAACACAACCAGCTGTCAGTAAAGTGTAGCTGTAAACACTGGATTTATTCTTTTAATACCACGTATCATGAGGCTCAGCTGACACTTTAAACTAAAAACACACAACTTATAAACTCTAAAACACTCATCAATCCTCTGATTCTGAGCTTATTGGAAACTCTGAGGAGTAATAACTGACAGTTCCAGCTTCATGAATAAAACTGTTGATTTCTGCCACAAACATCATGTTTTTACTGAAGACAAGTACAAACATGCAGCCAATGTTCTAATTACAGATGAGATATTTAGATTTTTTGGTCCTTTGTTTAACAGTTTGACATACAGGATGTATGGAGATAAGTTAAAGATATCTGTTCTTAAAACCATCAGTGTCTGTAATAACAAACATTCTGATAATCAAACCTCACAAGCAGAAAATAAGACCAGAAAAAGGGAAAATAAAGTTTAAAAATAAGAAATTCAAACATAGAAAAGAACAGAAAGAAATACATAATGTAAAAAAGATATCTAAATAATTGGATATTTTTTACTAAATGTTTCTTATTTCACTTTCTAATTCGTCAAACTTCTTTCAGACTTCTGGGCAGCTCTTATTGTTTTGTAGAAGTTTGGTTTAGAATAGAAGAATAGAAATAGCCTTTATTGTCCCACCAAGGAACAATAAAGGCTTGAGGTTACATTTCTCAATAATATAAAAAAGGTAAATAAATCTAATTTATCTGCCTGATATTTCTCTTTTTTGTAAGACAGCCTTATTAGCAGCAACAGATGGCTAAAATATTAAGAATTAATAACAATTTCTGGGATATTTAACAATTACAGCTTTATCACCTCATTAAAAGAAAATTATCAAGCCTGACTTCTATAAAAATATATTTCAGCTGCTTCACAGGAAAGCTGAATCCTGACTGATGCAAAACTATTTTTTATTGATAAAGTTGAGGCTTCAAATATTTCGATTGATCAGAAAAGCAAAATGAGATGTAGCACATTTAACTGTCCTCTTTTCTGTTTCATGAAACTATAAATCTCCTCATAATTAAAAAACATAAATCTTCCTCTATTTGATCAAGTGAAATGAAGGAGCTGAACAAGAAGCAGGAATCCATAATTTTTCCTCAGCAGCTGTGAATGATTTTATTTTCCACAACAGTTCATAAAAGCTAAAACAAATCTGTGGTTTTACAAACTCACAGTCGACAGAATCAGGTTATGACAAAGTGAGGGGTTTCAAACTCAACATTCAAAACTGGTTTAAGAACCGCCTGTACCTGTTTCTGCTCTTCTCCCAGGCCGTCCCACATGGAGGCCACGATCTTCGACACCTCCCCGAAGGTGGCGTTGGGGTTCTGGGCCTTGATGTTGGCCTGGGTGTCCCTGAAGAACAAGGCGTAGGCTGAAACCGGCTTCACCGGCTCATTGGGGTCTTTTCTTTTCTTTTTCTTYGGCGTTTTGGGTTTCTTTGAGATGTCGACGGTGGCGGGTCGTTTCTCCCCCTGTCAAAAAGAAACAAACAACTATGAACTGTTGAAGACAGACGTGGGGATGAACAAATGAAGAGAAGGAACTGTTTACAAAGCKGAAACAAAAACAAAACGCCTGAAATGAAAGTTTAATGAAAAGAAGGAAATTCACTAGACATTACCATAAAAACTGCCACTGATGCTTGTTTTATGACTTCTATATGACTTCAGCTGTTATCGATTTAATGAGCCGACTGCAGAGACGAATGATGGGGAACTCCCCACCAGTCAGCAGAACTGATCAGTCCTCTGGTTAAAACTTTAAAAACACCTCCTGCCTCCATGAAACCACAACTACAGCAGCACGTCAGCAACAATTAGCTTCTACTCTCATCTGGTAATAACACAAATTACAACTTATAAAACAACATGAAAATACTTTATATTCAATTCATTTAATTATTTTATTTGTGGACAGGGGTTTAGGTTAATTTTGATTTACCTGATGTTGCTTGTTGGTTTTGTCTTTTGTAAATTATTACTTCCCTTTATGAATAAATACTTGTTTTATTTTGTTTTATTCTGTCAGATTTTCATCTCTGATCTGATGATGTTCTCCTGGTGTCTGATTCTTTACAGTCATGCACCATTTTATATTGGTTTGATGTTTTCTGTGCTTTTCTGTCCCAGCAGCATTTTATTCCTTATTATAAATAAGTGTTGTTTGCAGTAAGTTTAGACTGCAACAAACAAATATATAATAGAAATCTGTAAAACTGATGCAAACTTTTAGTAATACTGCAAATTAAGCAAACTTATTGTTTTATAAACTTTATTCTACCACTGTCAGAGCACAACAGCTTAGGAACATACATTATCAAAACTTAATAATAGACATCTTGGTTTAAACTRAATGCTTTCCTTTAGAATGTTCTAAAATTCTTAAAAAAATCTAATCTATCTACAGAAAACAGACTCATTTGTTACCATCTTAACTTCGTAGTTTGTTTCATATAAATAAAATAAGCCAGAAACTGAAATGATTAAGGAACAAGAATGTAAAATAATGTGTTTATACATTTCTTAATCAGTTGAAACAAACTATTTTTATTGGTCAGCGTAGTGGCTGAAACATCTGCTTTCTTCGTACTTGTTTCAGGTCTGGTTAAATATGACTTATCTGTTAAATTTATATTCCCCACAACCCCAGGAGTAATAGACTAAAATTACAGCTTAGACTTCAGCTACAAGTAAAATGTAACAAACACTAATATAGAGTTACATCGTTGAACATGTTATTAATGTCAGAGTGTCGTTCTAATTTCACTCTGATGAAGACGTCAAAAACTGTCAGACTGACACTGAAAGTGTCTAAAGGACTGAGGTTCATAAAATAAAGGTGATAAAATTAGTGCCACCAAAAGAAAACATTGACATTATTGCAACAAAAGTTGATGAAAAACCAGCAAGATCAAACCAGCTAAGAATAACCTCAAATAAAATTCATTAAATAAGAAGAATAAAGACACTACTGGTATATGTTTGTGGTTTAACCTTGAAAATGGCAACATGTGCAGTGTGTGTGTGCGCGTGTCTGTTTGTGTATGTGTAGTACATGACTGTCAGCTAGTACTGCACACAAGTTTAGCTTTATATCTATATAATTTGTTGACTAAAAAGCATTTTTGTGTAAGGTTAAATCGATTAGCCGTGGCGAGCATCCTAAACTGACTTGAATTTAGTGTTGAATTTAAGTGTTTTTGAAACACAAAAYTTGCTTATGTTTACTCAGAGCTACAGGCCAGTGTGGGTGAACATGTAAATGTATAAAAACAACCACAGTTTAGATGTTCAGRAGTTTATTGTGAAGGTGCTACAGTATGTGGTTCTATTTTGTTATTGCTTTCTGCCAGACTTGAAGCCAGTAAACCTGTATTTAACTCTCTGCAGCTACAGTGAAAACATTCAGCAGTAATAGTTTCATTTCCTCAGAAAACTGAGAGCTGTTAGTGCAGCGTGTTTGTTTTGTTGTGGGGCAGCTAACAGTGAGGTAACTGGTTTCTTTCCAGTGGATGGCTCTATATATGACACATAATGTTATAATCCCTTACTTTATACACACAGAGTAAATCAATAATGGTAGTTTCATATCTCACTGTGTATATCTTGGTGAAACACGACAAAAATGACTCACACAGTCAAGAGGATCTGTGTTTCTGTGCATTTGTGTGTACTGTATGTGTGTGTTTGTTTTGTTTACCCTGAGTCCATCATCATTGTCATCCTCATGTGCTGAGCTGGATGGAGATGGTGTGGTGGATTTACTTCCAGGAGGAGATGGGGAGTTATGGTTAACGGAGTTCCCATTCAACCCCAGCTGGGATTGGTTGATGGTAGACAACTGGTTTTGATGGTTTAGGCCTGATTGGCTCCTGGGTCCGAGTGCTGCTTTGATTGGCTGTTGGCTGCAGGTGAACCGAGAGTCTGAGTTCACCATCTGCTGCATCTGAGTAAAGACAGGAGGTGTTAATAATGACAGAATAATTAGATGTATGTTTACATTTTCATGTCCTTCAGAAGAAGTTTGTACTATTTGGTTTTCACGTAAAGACAACATACATATCTGTACAAAGCCACAAGTATTTTACCTTTATTTTGACACTAGTGTCACAAATCTAAAAAAAGTTGGGTCATTTTGAAAAGACAAGAAGCCCAAAGCCTGAAGTAACAAACATTTTCCTGATTTCCTGTCATGAACTGCAGCCTACTGATAACCACACAATGTTCTTTAGTAAATCAGACAATATACAAATATATTTGTCAGATAAAATTTAGATTTCAAAAACTATATGGCATACTGCATTCCTCCTACTTATCATTTTTCCCATTCACATTAAAACAGCAGTTCTTTAAATAAAGTAATTTATCTATAAAGTTTTAATGCATGTTAATGATTAAAATGCATATAATATTAATCCCACACACATATTGATCATAACAGCTTATTACCAAAAACATTTCAGAATTTGTGTAACATTACAAATAATAAAATAATGAATAAAATCCACATTAAAACAACTTTGTGTTTTTCTTTTGACCGGTTGTATTATTACAAATGCAAAGGGGACTGTCTATATCTATAAAGTACTTGAAAAAAAAAACAAACAAACAAGTAAAAGTAAAATTACATAAACAGAAAATAAATTTCACTGATGAGAAAACTACTCCAGTAAAAGTCATAAAACTGTTCACAAAAATTGGGACAGTAAAAGTACTTTTACACACTCTCTAAGAAACAAACTGTTGAATTTACTGAACCTAATTGGTTCCACTAAGCCAGGATGAGTAAACTGAGTAATATATGTATAATATAATATATATGTAATACAGTATGTGTATATATTTTGTTCAATTTACTCAACTAGGCTTAGTGGAGCCAGTTGACATGACTTTGTTGAGTAAATTCAACACTTCATTTTTTAAAGTGCAGAAACATGATGATTTCATGATGAGTTCAAACATATTTTATTTGTAACGAGTAACTAGGTCTTACATTTTAAAGTATAGAAGTATAATTTTTGCTTTCAAATTTAACAAAATAAAAGTAAAAGTAGCTATTTAAAACAATAATTGGTAAAATTACAAATCCTCAAAAAATAAATAAATAAAAGTACTTAAGTACTGTAACAAAGTAAATGCACTTAGTAACTATAAACCTCTGCAAATACACTTACTGAAGTGATTAAACATTACATGTAAAGAGAACAACAGAATGAATTTAGAAACTAATTCATTTGGGAAAGAGACCATCACAGTGTCTGGATCCAAAAAGAACCAAAACATAATTAGTGGAAATTGACATGAATATCAACAAATGCTTTTTCATATGTCCTCATTATCTTCTGAATAAATCAGCTGTAACGTTTTTCAGAAGAGATGGGAAAGAAAAAAAAAACAAGATTATTTGCATATTATACTGGACTTGTATATGCACTGTACCTAAATTTATTGCATGCTAGTTGTCTTTACAACCAGTTCTCCTGCCTATAAATGGTAATAAAAATAAATTAAAAGACATTTAAGTGTCTCTAAAGTAGCTGATAAATGGGTTTCAAGTCCAGTTTAAATTTCAGACTGCACACAGGACTGAAAGGGTGTTGGAGGTGCACAACAACATGCTCCTGATTCAGCTGTGAAACGTCTGTCTTTGCTTGGCAGGGTTTGTGCGGTGTGCAACAGTAAAGGATTCACTAATAATGAAATCTGATAGTAACCCTGGCAACAGGAAATACAGGTCTGAGGTAAGACAGGATCAGAAGTCATTTAAAACATCAATTGCCATTTCCCACTCATGTGTAAGTACATCAATAAAGCTTTTTAAACTCCATTAGAGAAATGGCTACATATCTGGAGGAGACGACGAGTCCACAGGTGCAGACTGAACAAATACACTCGGGTTTATTCTCTGTGCCTCCAGGGGCTTGGTAATTTATCAGAGCGGTGTTTACTGCAGGGTATAAAGTGACCAGACAGCCTGGTCCACACTTTTACTGTCACACCTGTGTCATGAATGCATAATGCTTTATAAAACAATGGAAGGATTCCTGAAACGATGATAAAGAAAATGGAAGAAAAATATCACCTTTGATTTAGGATCTGGTCGATCAATGTTATTTTAAAAATCAAAGCTACCGTACAATAAAGCAAATAACCGTGCACCATTCTGTGACCTTTAAATGCAATGATGTCTGACAATAAACACAACAAAAATACGTAGTTTAAAGACACAAAGAAATGTGATTTCGGGAAAAAAACATCTTAAAAACTACTGATAAAAACATATCTGAAGTTACAAAGCCCTAAATTATGTTCTTGAATAACTTTTAGATACATTAATTTACATATACTCAGTTATGGCAGTTTTTTTTTTTTATAAAGGTGTTTAATATTGGCTAAAGTAAATAACGACTTATATAGACTAGTTGTAGTTAATACTGTGAAGTTACTTAATACTGCAAATGTTTAAAAAGTTTCAGAAGATCTGGATTTGTTCAGCTAAAATAATATTAATATGAAATAATATTTTGTTCGGACAAAATAACATTAATTTGAAATAGWTTGGTAGCTGATATAAGTAACTTTATATATTTATAGTAAGCCACATTCATACTAAGATATACAAAATATTATTATTGAAAAATATTTTGTTCGGACAAAATAACATTAATTTGAAATAGATTGGTAGCTGATATAAGTAACTTTATATATTTATAGTAAGCCACATTCATACTAAGATATACAAAATATTATTATTGAAATGTATAATAATGTATAATAACTTTCTGTATATTGTTGAGCACAGTGGCATGAAATTAACAACATTTCTGGGTGATTATTATAAATATTTTACAAGTTAAAAAACATTTGAGATAAGACTCAAAAAACTTTATTGTCTGTCACAAGTTGTAATAGAAAATTGTCTGGTTCAGTCAAGAGGCTCAGACACATTAAAACACATAATAAAACAAACCACACGTAAATCCCCAGCTCCCATTTCACATAAAACCATAGAACCTGAAAATATAACAAAACACATAACAATGGTTCATTYGTTTTTCCACTTACTGCAACAATACTACATATTATACATTAAAGCATAAATTAGACAAGTGGGAAAAAGTTTTTTTTTTTTCAGAGTAATCATTTTTCACCGTTTCGGTTTTAACTGGCATTTCCAATATGAGCAGTCTTGAAGTGAGTCAGCCATTAGTTCTGTTCTGTCCACTTCTCAGGAAAAGAAAAGTTAACATCGCTAACCTCAGCGGGGGAACGTTGACACCTACCATCACGAATACGAAGACGGGACAGGGATGGTGGTGTCGTATTTAGAGTTTCCTCTGAGTACGCATTAAACAAGTACGGATGTGGTCTGGGGCRATGTGCCCCTCTCGAGAACACGTTACCTGAAAACAGCCGCTGAACGCTCTTGCGGTRTTTAGGTGGAAAACAGAGCGACGCGTCTCAAACATGGGAAAAGCTTTTAGCCGATGATGGAAATAATGAATCTGTGGTTTGACCTTGACTTGCAAAAAAACATTCATTTGCCAGTAAGGTTAAAGGTCTCATTAGACGTCATGACTGTGTATTCATAACTGAAATATTAAATGAATAAAACGTGACTAATGTACTAAAAATTTCATGGATTAGGTAAAATGAACAATTTCAAAACTCTTTAAGAAAAGCAGTTTATTATTATTATTATTATTATTATTATTATTATTATTATTATTATTATTATTATTATTATTGTCGCAAAAAGGAGAGAGGTGGGTGATAATGCAATAACATTTTTGATCATGTCTGCTGCCAAAATATCTCAAGCACCGCTGGACAAATTCTAATGAAACTACTAAAAGTTTAATTATTGGATATACCTCTGCAACAGATTAACATTTGAGGTTACCTGTAGTTAAGGTGGCTGCCAATTGACTTTAACTCCCCCACACAAAAACAGCTATAAATCATTCAAATTTACTGAGCTAAAAGTAGACATGCTGAGAGCCATTCATAACTAATACTCTAAATGTGTCATCTAATACATTATCACATGAGATTGTGCATAACATTATCACCATGGTTTGACCAAAACAAATATAACAGTTTTTTCTCAAAATAAGATGATGTTAGTCTAAAACTCAAAAGGCAGCAGGTGACATGAACTCCTTTGAAGAAACCCAAGTCTTAAATTCCTAAAATAATTACGGGCCAGCTCAGAATGACAAACTCTATGATGACAAATGTGCCAATAAAATCAAAATGTAGCAAAGATATTCAGAAAAGGAACAAGTATAGAGAAGAGGCATTTCAGAAGGTCAAATCAAAGGGCTCGAGTACCTAAAGACAATCCAAACCTCAAAACTAAGTCRGACATGAAAATATTTTAAAACCCGTGCATCAGGTTTTCCCTGTGAGTGAGTGAATAGGCAGAGGGGTGATGGGAGAACCCCTGATGTCTGAGTAAAGACTGACTCATGTCAGCATGAAGTCGCTTCATGTCTGCACTGTGGTTTATGTTCAGAAATGAAAAGGAGAGCTGTGTAACTCAATCTGTTTTTCCTTTTACTCAAGACAAGTTGGAATTACTCTGTTATACAATAAATAATCACACTGAAATGCTCTCATACCAAAATGACTGTTTAGGACACATTTTGACTGTRATGAATAAAGCTGACAGAGCAGTAAGGGCTTCTTAAACTCTCTCACAACCAGCCGCTGAACGCTCCTGCAGTTTTTAGGTGGAAAACAGACATTTTTCAAACATGGAAAAGCTTTGATGAATTTAGATTACAAATATGAAAGATTGGTATTTGATGATGGCTTATTTTATGTTGAATCTAATTTTATAAACTTTTATTTTGTATATTTTCTGAACTTGTTTTGACTCATCCATTCCAAATATACCAGAACTCCGTAACGTCCATTTAAATTTTTGCCATGCTGGGATGAAAATTATTTAAGTAGAGAAAGGTTTTTTTAAGAAAATGTAAAGTCTAAGTACTTTGTAAAATAGAATGTCCTCAGATTGTTGTTTTATTTCTTTTAGATTAAAGTTCCTGCAGGACGATGTTGTTCTTCTATGTGTTTTTTTTTTCCTTTCGCATTTAAATTCACAGGCAAACCTGCTTCAGTCTAGCCTGGCCCTTGCCTTCCTACGCAGCTCCGCTCAATTCTAGTTTCCCTTGATGATGTTGATGATGATAATTTATTTCAGACAAACTGCTCCGTCTGGGATTTCTCCCATAGACAAGCATTTTTTCAGGAGAGTTTTGTTCGGGCCAATCAGAGAACAGAACGTCAATTTTCTGCGCAGTGTCTGCTTGTAGTTTATTTTACCTGGGCCAATCAGAGAACAGAACGTCAATTTTCTGCGCAGTGTCTGCTTGTAGTTTATTATGCCTGGGCCAATCAGCAAACAGAAGGCGGAGTTTTGAACGACGTTGATGTTCTGCGCAGTGTCTGCTAGTTAGTTTAGCATACGGCAGTGGAGGAAGTGAATGAAGCCAGTCTGTGTTGATAAGGCTTCCAAATTAAATTAAATTTGTCTGAYAAAGCAGCAGCTCTCATTTACAGTTGTCTCGTTCTGCTTGGTACTTTTTTCCTCAGTAGGGTTGTTTACAGCCCACGCAATTTCTTGTTAGCTTCTTAGCTTAGCCTCCTTCACAGTGGACCTGGCTACAAACGTCACAGCCAACCGATCCAGTAGTTTTAAACTTCAAAAGAGGCCATGCCTCCAGCAAGAATCGCAAGTCCAGACCCTCGTACGAAGCAAAGTGAAGGACAAGGGTATGGTTTTTACCAGGCTAGCTTCAGTCCAACAGATGTTGTCAATTAACCTGCAAAAATACAACCTACATATTTTTCTTCTGCTATGTATCAAAAAAAAAAACCCAGAGAAGCACATCATAAATTCTAAACTTAAACTAGAAAACTACAATCAAAACCCCACCAGCAGAAAAGCATTTATCACTTTCCACAGTCAACATTCAGAGAGCAGCAACAGCAAATTAAAAAAGAGCAGTCGGCATCTTCAATTTAATGACAACCGAAGAGTCTTGCTCCATTTAGAATAATAAACGCACACTTTGACTTCAGTCTCTCTGGTCCTATTTCTACCCAACCCGATTAGGCTGAGCCCAGCATGGTTGCTAAGCAACAATAATTCATGGACCGGCAGTAAAATGTATGTTAGTATGAAAATATAACAAGGAGGTCTAGTTCTTCAAAAAGACAGAGAAAAACATAGGGCTGAGGCTGAGCAAAAAAATAAATGAATAAAACCTTCCCTTTCCAGAAGAAAATAATGAGCTCCATGATTTGTAATTAGCAGACAAGTTAATCACAATCAAAAAGGGAAAAATATCTGAATTTAAAGTAAATATGTAATTTCTGTAGTATTTTATWGTCATTCTAATCAGCTAAAGTCAGGGCTGAGAACTTCTAGGTTTTTTGTTTTGTTTTGACTAAAATTTCATCAGTCCCATTTATTGTAGAGATGAAGGAAACAGTCAGAAGAACTGAAAGATCAAGAGTGGGAGGTGAGAAAGTTTCCTTCTTAATCAAAACAGCAGTGATCTTTATTACAGATACCGACACTTACATACCTCTGGCTCAGTCGTGAACAGACAGAAAACTAACTGCAAGTCTTGGGCATAACTTTCATTTCTTTACTGTATGACAAAGTCTGTCACGTCTGAATGTCACAGCTAAAAGCAAGATTTTCACTTTACTGTGAAATGTTAACTTCAATCTGAAACAAATGCCAGGTTGACCAGCTGCTCTGACTGGCCTTCAAATAACACTGCCCGGGGCAATGTGCTATTTCACACAGTTGTGCTGGGTACAATATAAAAGAATTCAGGTAAAATATCACTGCAGGCTGTCGGCTCAAATCTCAGATTCTCATTTACCTTCCAGCAGGTGAAGTCAAAGTCTATTTGATCAATAAATAAACCAATAGTTCAATCTAATATCTGTCTTTTGAGAATCAGATCAACTCAGTGCAGCTCTCTCTCCCTGTTAGAGAAGCAGCCAGTCACATGAAGCAGATCAAACTTTCAATTATTTCAGTCATGAATGATTTAATGGAGGCAGCAGGTGTCAAAACCTTTATCGAAATGCTCTAAACTACTTCTTTAAGAGTGTTAACATGGTGCTGCTCATCTTTGTGCAGTTTGTTCCAGATGATCTAAGTGGTACCAGAATAACTGATGATAGCAAATTTCCATTTATGTATCTACAGAGAACTACAACCCCAATTCCAATGGAGCTGGGGCATTGTGTAAAACATAAATAAAAACAGAATACAGTGATTTGCAAATCTTTTTCAACCTATATTTAATTGAAGACACTACAAAGACTTAAATATTTAGTGTTCAAAATGATCAAATTAAACGTTTTTCTGTGGGTGTTTTTGCAAATATTTGCATTTTATGACTGCAATGTGTTTCAAACTGGACAGGAGCAACAAAAGACTGGGAAAGTTGAGGAATGCTCAGAAAACACCTGTTTGGAGAATTTCACAGGTGAACATTTTCATTGGAAACAGGTGAGCGTCATGATTAGGTTTAAAGGGAGCAACCCTGAAAGGCTCAGCTGTTCACAAGCAAGGATGGGGTGACGTTCACCACTTTGTGAAAAACTGCAAGAGCAAATAGTCCAACAGCTTATGAATGTTTCTCAAGGTACAATTGCAAAGAGTTTAGGGATTTCATCATCTACAGTCAATAATATCATCAAAAGAACGCTTCAGAAAAACACTGTCCATGAACACAGTTCGTGCTGCATCTACAAGTGCAAGTTAAAACTCTACCAAGCAAAGCCAACATCCAGAAACACTGCCGGACTCTCTGGACCTGAGCTCATCTGAGATGGACTGACAGAAACAGAAAACATGTCCTGGGGTCTGACAAGTCCACATTTCAAATTGTTTTTGACCCCCCCAATGAGAAGTTAATGTGTGATTGGTCAAAAGTGCTTCAACTCCTCGCTTAAAAAAAAAAAAAAAAAAAAAAAAAAACACTAAAAAACCTACTTGCTTCTAGAATCTGACTGTTGTACCCAGAAGCAGACAATTATAACGAGTCAAATGGCCAAAAGCTCATGGATGGAGATAAAACAGACATTTTTCCATGAAGAAATCTGTCTGAAGAAAATTGTGCAATTTTAACGGGACAGATTTGAGGACATATAACGATGGATATCTGTAGCAGGAAGAAATGAATGTCAAACAACCACATGATCACTCATCAACTGCTTTGTATGGACCCTGAAGGTTAATCTTGGACAATATCTGATGATYGACTCTTTTAAATGAAACCAGAGAGCGTTGACAGAGAGGAGAAGGTAGAAATGACTCAGCCTGKAACTGAAAATATVGATGGAGGACAACAGAGCTGCTTCATGGAACAAGAACCTCAGCTTAGCCTGCTAGCTTTAGTGTTAGCCCCAATGCTACAGGGTGGACATAGCTCGCTCACACCGAGGACCTATCCACGTCATCATTCACCCAGAATGCTTTGCATGTAAATTAAAATTGCTCCGTCCATGTTAAAATACATTTTTAAAAATTTACAAAACAAAACATCCTGCAGTATTTTTACAGTCTTTATTTTACAGTTAAAATAAATATTTGTCAAATAAAGTCTAATGTTACAACTAACTGTAGATCCCTTTAATGTATTTTGTTTTAGTTCATGCAGTTTGAATGCTCAGAACACACAACTGTTAGAAAAGTAATACTGCACAACAACCATGGTTCTGTGGAACACTCACCACAGACAGAGTACTGGTCATGGGTCCACCACCTGGGCTGAATGTGCCACCATCCTGGTTCAGTCCAGCAGCTCCATCCTGCCTGCCAGGCAAGCCAGGCAGTTCCCCGCCCTGCAGCTGGTAGTGGTGGTGCGGAGCTGCACTGGACGGGGGCTCCACAGAGTGATACAGTCCGGATGAAGAATCGTGGGGCAGGTGAGGGGGCAGCATGTGGTCTGGCAAGGTGGGGGGAGTGATGGGTGGGATGTTGAAGTCATCATCGCCCAAACCGTTYACTGGATAGGACTACAAACAAAAACACACAAACAAGAAAATGTGATCAGAGCTATTTTTAGTTCAGCACTTTCACTAAAATGACGTTCCTAGAAATCAAAYACAGCATTTCTTGTTTGCCTCCAGTGATGTGGGACAAAGTCGTGCTCAGAGCTCGGGTGGACGGACAATGTTGCCCTCAGCAGAGTGACAACTTGGAGAAAATCAATAAGAATTGTTGCATAGAGGACTGTAAGAGACTGAAGTGTCATGAAACATTACTGTCAGAGATAATAGATGGAGAGATTCTTTAAAAATGCCTGTTGTAATTTCCTCAGTTTAAATCCAGTCTGAACTACCGCCTTGTGTTTTTCATGCAGCCACTTTTTCCTCTATCACAGACTAACTGTCACTAATCACTTTTAATTATAAGCCTATTTGTTTTAAATACTTTTCAACAAATCCTTTACTCAGCTGCATAACACTACAGTGATTTAATTGTAAGAACATAGTTTGTCTACAAGAATAGAAACAGATCAACCCCTTTCTTATGAAAAAWATACATCTTCACTAATTTGACATGCAGAAGCAAAAATCTGGAGCAGTCTTGTATACGATTCTGTGCGCAGGGACACGTGAGATGGAGACATGAAGAAGGAAATGGAGTGAGAGAATCATGCAAGAGGAGTGAGGGGAAAGAACACGGGAGAGAGAAAAAGAGAAAGAGGCAATGCTAGAGAAGCCTTCTCATACTAATCTGACAGAGGAGATCTTTTATAGAGACTGACAGCCTTTTCTGCTTGGCTAGCCACACCAGTCTCTCCATCTCGTTTTCTTTTGCTCTTCGTCTCTCACCATCCTTCTCCTTCAAACCCCTCACTTCTGCACTTGCTCCCCTAATCTCATCCTCAATTTCTCTTTCATCTCTCACTTTTACATTTTCTCTCCCTCGTTTCTGCTCTATCTCCAGCCCACTCGCAGTGTTCTGTTATAATTTGCATGACTTGAGAGCTGAGTGATGAGTTAGAGATTGAATTACATTTATATATGATCGTTTTATAATTCACAGCAACCGTGGTAAACCACGACTCTTATCTGATAGTTTTGCCGCTTTAAAATAACTTGTGGAAGACGGAAAATAAAGTTAGTATTGGGCTTTCAGACCCAACATCAATGGCTTTAAGAAAAAATCCATCTTGGTGTCTTTGTAATTTTGTGGTGTTTCATAGCATTTTTGCATGTTCACAAACGAAGCATATCTAACAGTTTCTTCTTGAATGACAAACACCCCAAAACTGGAATTACTACCACAGCTAGCTTTTCTTTTAACACATTTCTGACTTGGAAAACGTTCTTTTAACATTTGGGATTTTATGAGTATAAAAAAGACTAATGGTGCAAAAATAAATATTTCAGACCAAACTGTACACAGCAGGACGAGATATAATCTAAAAGCAGCTTAGAGACTTGATTTTGCATGTTTAGTCCTCGGGGCAGAAATGGATAATTGTACAAGTGAGCAATCATGAATCTTTAGATCAGATTTACTTCCTGTTCTCTAATAGAAACTATTTTTAAAAAGTAAAAACATATGTAGTAGCTTCAGGGAACATTTTGTTAACAGTGSGAACTTCATTTTTTATCTTAGTGGTTTTATTAACTTTTAATGAGCAAACAAAGACCAATACAATGACCAGAGGTGCACTATTTGTCTTTTTTTATTATTTTAGTTTCTTCTTGTATAAGTGTCATAAAAGATAACTTCATTTTGGGCTTTGGGTTTCTATTTAACAAAATGAGATGTTGATAGTTCTATACTCAGATCTAATTTTCCTGGAAAAAAATCTTTACAGTTTCAAGAGAGAACTATAAATTCAAGTATTTTCAAAACCTAGAAAATGTACAATAAAATTCTAAGTATTTTCAAAGCTCTAAGCCCACCTACAATCCCTGTATTAACTAAAATGATGCATGTTTATAGCTCAGTCAGCTTATGAAATATTTATTAACTGTTTATTATGTTCATCAAAAAAAAGTTCTAATGTATTCATGATTACATAGACAAAAGCAAAAAATCATTGTTGGAATGACATGCAAACATCTGCAGAATGCTGATTTATATTTAAACGATATACAGGAAGGTACCTAAAAATGTATTTACACATACATTATGTATGTGTGTTGGGAATGACTCTCAGCTACCACCACACCAAATACTCACTTAACATTTGTAAAAATGATTAGGTTATAGCCAGTTTAGTGTTTTCTAAAGTCACTTATCTGTGGTGGCCATCTTGAAGGAGTTGACTCTAAACGTTTATAAGTACATCCTGAGTATTTTCTGAGTTTCTTCAGRATCCGTCCAGTGGTTCATCAGATATTTTGCCAACACAACAAATGATGATCACCCACATACAACCAAAAACATCTTTGCCAGTTCCTGGTGATAATGAGTTTACACACATCTTATAAAGCCTAAAGAAGAGTAGTGAAAAGTGTCACCCAGCAATCAGTAAAATGTGACTCTAAGCTTGGACGTCAACATCACACCAAACAAGACACAAGTCCAAAATCTCTTTCCTGGTCTCACAGTTTGTCCTGATGGAGCTCAGCGCTCYGCATAAATTACACTGCATGTCTGTTTTCTGTCTGCCTCTCACTCTCCCTCCTTCTCCTACTTTATCATTTCTTCAGCCTCTGCATAAATTACTCCTCTTCCTCGCTCTCTCATTCAAGTCAGTACAAAAGCCTTTTGCTYGTGCACTGGGAGCTTCTGGAAAGACTAATGTAGTCAGGATTAAGTCCTTTCACACGTGTTGTGTTCACATCACAACTGCACTTGTCACACCTCAGTGTTCATTTTGTGCAATATGGAAAAGCACATATGGACCTGAGTAATAAGGCATTCTGTGACGAGCGTTCAGACGAACCGATCTGCAGTTGGTGCGTGAGTCATCTGTGAGAACATCTATCTAAAAGTCATTAAATTACATTTGATCATAAATGTCTGACACGTATTGTGATATTTTTTTAAAACCTTCCATTTCTCAGCACATTTACATAAATTATGTAAATCTGTGAAGAAAAAAAAGTTTTTTTTAATCTTTTAAAATGCCCTGGACAGTCTAACAGTTTTTCAATATCGCTTAAAGTTTATGTTTATTGTAATGTCTCTACAAGTTTAACACATCTATAGCTCCTGTAACAACAAAAACAACTAATTTTTTTGTTTTCCTTTTTTTCCCTCCTGGTTCACCTGAAAACATCACCATCATGAAGTCACTGCAGTTAGACGTTCTTTAAACACTCCTTGAGTTGATAAGGGATGTTTCTGTTGACTATCATTTAAAAAATCTATTTATGTTTGATGTTAGACAGTTAATGAGTTGATCTGTCACTCTCAGTGCTTATTTATTTCCTGTGCTCTCAGGTCTGATTGTTTAGTTTGTGTTTAATTTTAGAACAACTTTTACATCATAGATTTTAAAAGCTGCCTCTGAAGAAGTTAAAGTTTAAAACTGTCCACAGGAAGAATGAACACAGAAGAGTACATCTGGTCCCAAAAATATATATGATCCTCCCTCTTAAGTTTTCTTTATTAGCGAGAGTCATGCTGGTTTTCTTCAGCCATGATAATGCTTTACTGGGCTTGAGCTCCTGCAGGCTGGCTTCTCACTGCAGAGGGAGAGAAGCAGAGAGAAGCGGACCGTAGACAGGAACCTGGAGTCGGTTATCATAAATGCTGGAAAAGTTACACCCCCTAAATTTAATTACATTAAATGCCTGAAAACATGCGCAAGTAAAAGAGAACAAAACATTTCTACTGAAACTGATTTACTGATCTGGGTCCAGGTGGGACTTTATATGGGGTCAAATCAGAACAGGACCCCTATACTAAAATGAATATATAGCTCATTAACACTCAATCAGATGTTGTTGATTTCCCCGACTTAAAAGTCTTATAAAACTATTTTATTTCWTCCCCATGGCTGCATTCTCTCCTCTTTTACCATTTCTGTATTTTGACGACAGACATTTTCCCCAGGGACTATTTGTTGGAATTTCTCATCTCTGATCTTTTTGCATCTCCACCACAAAAACCGGGGACTAAACAAAMAATCACCTAATTCTAAATCCTGTGACATTTAAAAGATGGTTCAGTGAGTTAGAATGAAAAATCAAGCCAGTGATACAAGAATAAAGCCATGTTTTGTAACTATTTTTTTAGATAATTAGATAAAATGGTAAAACATAACCACCTCAACACATATACCCTGCTGAATGTGAGGGTTTTGTAGTTCATTATCTGCAGGTAAAATAAACTCAACATGAAGCACAGGAACATGGAAAATAAAAGCAGACACATTGTAGAGCTGAAGAGCTACACAGCAGTCTGTTGCTTTTATCTCCTGAAAGTACAAAATGTTACCATTTTCACACCTTTGCCACCTGCAGATAATAAACTTTAAAGCTGTAAATTCTTTTCCTACTCCTGACTACAGCGTTACTTTTCCCCTGGTGGTTAAAATATTGTCATTAAGACAAAAAGACTCAAGCACAGATGGCTAAAAATAACCCCACAGAAATAAAATTTAGCTGACACCCAACTAATTCTGAGTTATTTATTCCAAAATGCATAATTTATTATTTCTTTTAATTACTGTGTTCTTTTAACCTTTGCACAGACATCTTTCTTTCTATTTGTAGAAAAACTCTTTCCATCATTGGGCTTTTTTTATGAACATACAAAGAACTTGAAATAAAATCCACACAACTTGTTTATTCTTGAGGATGACTGTGTGTCAAATACATTTTAATTAAACACTTTCCTTGCTTGCAGATGCAGGTCCACATCTGTAAGTCTGAAAAGCGGCTGCTGTCACTTGTCTGTATTAAAGCTGAGGTTGATTTGATGAAAGCTGCAGGCCCAGATCAGAGCTGCACTGACTGGGTTGCATTTCGGTGTGCACTCACCCAGGGAAGACGATGTACGTCGGCCATGTGTGCGTCCCTCCTCCACTGCTGTGAGGGTGGGTTTGGTGGCGTCACCTTGGTGAGCGGGTGAGGGGGCTGTGGCACACGAAACTGTGGGAAGAATCACAAAGACAAACAAAGATTGAAATGAGACCAGGGGCAAGAAAGAGGTCAGGGGTCAAACAAAAAGGCCATGAAGAGGAGTAAAGACAAAACAYGAGGAAGGCAGAGAAATTCCCCATGAAAAGCTCACACAAAAAGACACACAGTCTCCTACAGGCAGGTTAAAATAGTTTCAGTTTTCTAAACGAATATTGCTTTTAAATCTGCAATCATGAACAGATATTGAGCCGATCTGACTTAAAGGAAGAGACGATGCTACACAGAGAGACACACTGTAACTAAATATTTCCTCCTCAACAGCCACACTAACACTATGTACAGCTGCAATGAGAAAATACACAAAAAACWGATATGACTTTTATTAAGGAGGAAGTTGATTTCCAAGCTCTTTTTAACACCATAATGCTGTGCTTTTTCACACTTTTATGGTGACAGTTTTTAATTTTCAAGAAACCATTTATAACCACTGATAATCTTTGCTCATCTTTGCAACCATAACGGTAAAAAAAGTTTATATGTGGATGTTTTGTTTCACTTTATGAATGGCAGGGGCCCAAATGGGGTGTCCAATATGGAGGACCAAAACTGACATGATTAAAAATAAAAGTAGAAATATATAAACAGCCCAGTAAATAAATAAATACACTTAAAATGCACCAATAAATGGTCTCAGTTTAGCAACCGAAGGGTAGTTATGTTAGTTATGGATAGAGCCGTCTCGGAGTTGTGAAGGGAAGCTGCAAACAGATTTCCTCTCAAATAAGATGCATTCTCCTAAAACGACCAGTAGAACAGGCAAGCACAATCGATCTGCACATGGTTCCTGCTCCTTCCTGTCTGTTGACCAATAGGAAAGGAGCTGACCCAAGAAGGGCACCCCACCTTATTTACATATAAGGCAGAAAAGCATAAAGTACAGTAAAAACATAAAACATAAAAATGTAAATACAACAGATGGAAATAAGACTTGTGGGGAAAACAAAACAAAAAAATCTAATAAACAAATGCATCTACAGTATAAAGTAAAACAAAAAACTATGTATTTTTAAAAACAATTTGTTGGAACTAAGATGGAAAAATAAATATACTGCTAAAAAATAAAAGGGAACACTTAAACAACACAATCTAACTCCAAGTAAATCAAACTTCTGTGAAATCAAACTGTCCACACTGATTGACAAACAGTTTCACATGCTGTCAGTACATTCAACTTTGTACAGAACAAAGTATTCAGTGAGAATACTTCATTCATTCAGGTCTAAGCTGTGTTATGTGACTGTTACCTTTATTTTTTGAGCAGTGCATAAAGGTCAATTAGATTATAAAACATGAGGTAAAGTTCCCTTTTATAATTAATTGGTGCATTTTAAGTGTATTTTGTTTATTTATTGGGCCATCTATTTATTTCTGCTTTTATTTTTAATTATGTCAGTTTCGGTCCTCCATTGTCAAAAATATCAACATTCCTAAATAACGTAATGCTACAGTTTAATATCTAATTAGAGATCAAAACTGGCGTCTTTGCATTTGTGTCCTGTTTAAATTATATA